TACTCCAATTGTTTTGATTACTGTCAAGATAAATGTGTCTTGGCTCAGCACACCTATATGTAAGAGGATTTTCTACAGGCATGTTTATGCATTATTCCATTTCCGAAACGTAAGCACATGTACTGTACGTTCAGGTTCCAAGGTATGTGACAATGTGTTTAATTCTGGCTTTTTTGTTTTTAATTATGATTATTACTTTTTTAGGAGGATTTACTCAAGTCAGTTTCGCATAAAATGGAGAAAATACGTGAAGATTTCCCGCGACTGTACTTCTTAAGTGACGACGAGGTTCTTGACGTGTTAATCACCTCTAATGACCCACGAAAATTAATGCCCGTTGTAAGAAAATGTTTTCACGGCATCCAGTCTATCACATTTAGTTTTCCAGATGAAGGAGCAAAACCTAACACTGCATTAGACGCTGCTTTAAATGGTGTGTACCAGCTTATGTCTTTGTATTGATCCGCTGTGTAAAATATTTCTCATCAATAACATCTTGCGTGCCTTTCTTAAAACCCAGGTCAGGAGGCAGCATGACAGTTGATGAGAGTTGAGAAGCGAGAGTTTGTACCCCAGTCAAACGAGAACAAGAGTTACGTGAGAGTTGATGATTGTTGACTAGACATTACCAGTCAAACAAGCAAAAACTCTCAACTCTTATCAAGTTGCTCAACGTTTATGAGAGGTGACGAAATGGGTATGAGGGTTGAGGCGAATTGACGATCGAGCGCAAAGTTGGAACTCTTATCTTAGTTGCAACTCTCGAGAATGGGGGTTTAACCCACCTTAAAACACTCGCTAGTTATTCATATGCTTTTTGTCAAATCATGTCAACCTTAACATGTCACGAGAAGTGGCTTTATCCTGATAAAACTAATTTTTCTTTGTATAAAGCTCATCCTAATTAATATTCTTCATATAAAGAATACTAATGAGACGGCATCTATTTTGGTGGTGTTTTACATGCATGTAAATAATTTAAAGCGGTCTAATGTAGACGTGTTTTCTGATAAAACACTTTTTAAAAGAATGCTCACGGAGTCACGGGCTTTAAATAGTGGAAGCATTTCGCAAAAATAAGAGTGTGCAGGTGGTAGACACATTTTGGCTCTGGTTGACAAACAACAGCCTTTTCGCTCTCAGTAGTTTATTTCTGAAAATAATTTTTGTGTTTACTGGTTATTTGGAAATATTTTTTACCTAATTTATTCACCTCGTAGTGATATCTAAGCGAGCTACGTGTAATGTTAACAAACTTAATTAATTTAATTATCTTCTTTTAGCTCACCTTCTTCAAGTGACTGGTATTGAAGGTGAATTTGGAGAAACAATGGCCATAAGCGAAGCAATTCCAGCTGGGATGGACTCACAAACATGGTTAAAAGCTTTAGAGAAATCGATGAAAACGACCCTAATGATGAACTTCACAAAGTGCCTCATCAACACGTGGTCAAGAACTGAAGATGACACAGTCGTGAGTGACTTTGTTGAGAAAGGTGAGTGGTTACAAATTATGAAGGTTGCGTTTATACGTATATGTTTTGAACATGTTCTTTTGGTTGCCCAATTCATCCGGTCCTGGTGCGTAGGAAAGGGTAGGATAAAACTTTATTTGACTACGCTGGCCACTTCAACCGAAGCTGCTTTTCAAGTGGGGCGTAGATTATTTATAAAATGTTACAAAATATATAAAATACAAAATCTTTAAAGATGCGGTACAGTCCATATGTAAACAAAGGCTTTGTTTACATTTCGGTATCCAAAATATTGAATTTTAATCGACAACTATTTATATTTTCACGATTCTAGAGTATAATAAATTAAGAAGAGACAACAATCAAGCTTTGCAAGAACATAAAATGAAATAAAAACCTAAATAAAAGTTTTATAACTCTTATAGATAATTGATGCAAATTTGTCGACATGTACTATTTCTTTGTAGTATGTTGACATAACACTAATAAACCGTTTTATGATTTCCAAACTTCTTGGTATCCAAAGTTCTTGAAGTTTTTTTCAGAAAGTCATTATGCAATGTGACTTTTTGGTTTCCCTTGGTACCCATAAGTTCTTCTTCGTTTTCCTTGGCTCTCGTTGGTTCTACTTGGTTCTTGTTTCTACTTGGTTTTGATGGTTCTACTTGGTTTTGATGGTTCCCCTTGGTTTGTCTTCGTCCTCTTTGGTTCTACTTGGTTTTCGTTAGTTCTACATACTTAGTTCTGCTTGTTTCGCTTTGGTTTTCCTTGGTATACCCCTTGGTTCTTGTTCGTTCCGCCTCTTTCAACTTGATTCTCATTTGTTCTACTTCGTTCTACTTGGATCTGCTTGATTCTTCTTCGTTCTCGTTAGCTCTACTTGGTTGTCCTTGGTTCTGCTTGGTTCTTCTTCGTTCTTTTTTGTTCTCCTTATTTCAGCCTGGTTCTCCACGATTCTCCTTAGTTCTGCTTGGTTCTCCTTGGCTCTACTTGGTTCCACTTGGTTTGGTTTCGTTTTCTTGGTTCTGCTAGGTGCTACTTAGTTTTCCTTTGTTTCCCGTGGTTCTCTTTCAGTTTCCTTGGTTCTTCTTGGTACTACTTCAAAAAGAATAGAACAGAATAGAAAAGTGTTTTTTATTTGTTGTATATTTTCGTACTCTTGTGACAAGGCAACTACAATTGATCCCGTTTTTTCTTGTTTAAATGCTTTAATTATTCTATATTCCTATACTTTTTTCTTGATTTAAAACTCGTGTTGTTGCAGTTCAGTTTTTGTGCGAATGTGTCTTTTGCCTAGAAATAGAAGCAGTGTCGAAGTGGTCAACAATACTTGCAGTCCTGTTGTTTTGTTATGGCCATGAAAGTACTTGCCAAAATTCAACGCGTCCAAAACTCAGCGAAATATAAGAACACAAACTTCTCAATCAAAACAATATTCAGCTACAAATATTGAAGAATATAGGGGAACAAAATAGGATAGTTTTTGTGGTGCATACTCTCATATTGTTTTCAAAACAAGCATAAATTTGTGACGTTCTAGAGAGGACGTGAAAACACCCCGAATGCCTTCCTAAACATAACGTGAACGACGCCCTAGACTAAACCGGAAGTGAAATCCCACATGCCACGCCATTTTCACGTCGACGTCTTGCTAAGTAGTCTAAAGGCCCGTTTACACTTGCAATTTCTAGTGCGATTTTCTTCTTCTGATGCATATGAACGAGTAAATGAGTAACGAATGTTCTGAGTATGTGTACTGTCATATGAACATTCATAACTCATCTACTCGTTCACATTCATCAAAAGAAGAAAATCGTATCAAAAATCGCAGCAAAAATTGCAAGTAATGATACTTGGAAGACTCCGCATTCATGCTGTTTTGTTTGGCGCATGCACTTTCACGTTGTAATATTTAATATTTATTTTAGGTCAACTTGAGGAGAGTGCTGTTGCAGATGAGATTCGAGATGCAGGCACCACAGCTGCAGCAGATCAGAAAGAAGAGATTCCGTTTCTTCTCCAATATCCATCTCAATGTATACGTTGTGTTGAAGCTGTTGTTTGGTCCAATAAAGTATCTCATGCTCTTGTGTGCGAAGACCAGAGTGACCTGAAAGCTTTATGGTTTGTTTTATTTACTATTCCTAACACAATGACCTCAATATTAACAGAAATTCCTCTTAAGGCAACGCCGCGGTCAAAGATCCGCTTATCGTCAGCAGGCTTGTATTCGAAAGACTGGAAATAGTGGAAATAGTGGAAATAGTATTGTTATGAAACTCTAGAAAAAAGTGTAAATATAAAATTCCTGAACTTGTTGTATATCTTAGCTGTTTCCTTATAGTAAGTCCATCTATATTTACCCCTATTATTTCAGCAGACATTTCCCCCACCATTTTCGTAGTGCGCCTCTGGCAGTCATTGTATGACTATTAGAGACCTTACGATTTTATGACGGCAACGCGACGGCCAAACAAACTCCTTCAAATAAATGGTAGTCAAGATAATTCGTCGTATATTATCAATCGTATGAATTTAATACAGTCTTAGAAGTTGAAGACATGGGTTTTATGGTTGCGAAAAGTTCTGCTGAACTCAGTTTGAAGTTGCACTTATTGCTGCTTGAAATACAGCCGTTGTTGATAGACGCGAAAATATGTGATTTGGCGTTGTAAACGGAGCGAGGACAATGTTCATATATTGTAATTACTCAATTCTTTTCAATGATCTATTGTATTAGTAGCCGTTGCCGTCGCGTTGCCGTCCTTAAATCGTATAAGGTCTCTAATATCTGATCATGGAGCAGAGCTGTGGTGAGAGGGTCAGTTATAGCAGCTAATCGGACCCACCACCCTGACAACATTCTCTGTGGGAGGAAACCGGAATACCTGGAGCGTTGACTCTTCCCGTAATTGTACTGTATTTCTTGTCCCAGCAAGGCGGGATCCCGGCAACTGATGCCGGGTTCATATTTGCACACATGCTGTATCACGAGCGGGATATCGGCAACTACTGACTCGTCTTTCCTAGGCGGAATCATTAATAGACGGCCCATGCAGATAATCCTAGACCTGCATTGCTACTCAATATCAATTACTGTAGTGCTCATTATTATCAATGAATTTGTATGTTTATCAATTTAGCATGTTTACCTCTCGCCAAGTAGAAGATTATGGAAAAGTTCTAAGTGTGAAGAACTCAAGAAATCTAAAAACAGTTGCTCGTCTTCGTCCCGTTCTGCAGTCTTTGTTGGTCTGTGCACTCCATCAGAGAGATGTTGTAGAAAGTATGTTTAAAATCTTTTCATTCTACTGTAACTCTTTCTCGTTCAATGATTTTTATACGCAAAGATAGAACCTCTCTGCGTTGGTAAATGTAAAATACTCATTAACAAGTTACCGTGACGTATCTGCCCGATACAGACCAAAACGTGTTCGAAAGTATTTTCAACTTCTCCAAAGTTGCAATCTTTCTCCAAAATTTAAAGAAATTTAAAAAAAACTAAATGTTGAATTTGCTTTTTTAAACAAAATTCTGTAATATAGTTCGCGCAAACGTCATTTTTCTATCAAGTCAAAATTTCACTACAAAAGATTATTTAATTTTACAAATCTCAAATGAATATAAAATTTACAAATCTCAAATGAATATAAGAACTAGCCTCCTTCGCAGGCCTCTCTATGCTCTGTATGGGTTTTAGCCTGCGAATGCACCCGATTCCTCGGGTGAGATGCCTGCGGAGGAGGCTATATAAGAACATAGTTGGGTGTCTGAAACTATTCAAGTGTTTCAAGGTCTCAAGTGAATATTAACATGGTTAGGCTGTCCGAATATTGGACTACTTTATAATTCAAGTGTTACAATGCCTCAAATGAATATTGACATCATAGGGATGTCCGAATTTCAGACTATGTTATTATTAGTTGTCAAGGTTGCTCGATTCCTTAATTTAAAACCAGTTAAGTTGATCCACATGCAGATTGATCTGTTTCATAGATGTAGTGTCTATACCTATGATACGTACGTGTGCTTTGGGGTTCAGATATTACATTCCTGCGGCAAGCATGAACATCATATTGAAAAAAGTAAAAATTGCTTTATTTAAACGGCCATGCAGGTGTAGTAGTGTCGTTGCACGACTGCATAAAATCAACAATTCAAAATTATGGGATAATATCACAAAACAATTGCAATAGATACTCAAAATGGTTATCCATCATGGACAACAACAGACGTTAAGTTCACAACTGTACTGAAGCACTAGCTAGCTTGTTTGATAAATTCACGATTTCTACTTCTACCAGCACTTGTGGTGTGGTGGTCACCGCGCTTGCCTTTCATGCTTGTAGACCCAGGTTCACTCCCTAGTCGGACCTCTACTCAAGGTCTTAAAACAATGGACCTTTAACCTTATAACTAAAATTTTGATCTAGACAAAAATTTCATCACAGCTTGAAAGAGCATCACAAAATTAGTAATATTCCAAAGTTTCGTTACGATATGGGAACACCCAATTTGGGTATCAATTTCCCGTTTGTAATCTAAAATGACTGAAAATTGCAAACTTCGCAAGGCTATATTATCCGCATTTTTACAACATTTCGCAACGAAACTTCGGAATATTACTATTTTTGTGATGCTCTTTCAAGCTGTGATGAAATTTTTGTCTAGATCAACATTTTAGTTATAAGGTTAAGGGTCCATTGAGGAGAAAGTGCTATCTTTACAGTGACATCAGTAAATGGTTACTCTTTCGCGTCTTCTTGGTTAATTAAGGGCGTCAAAATCGTAGGTACCTCAGATCCCCTAAAAATTACATGGGCAATAGTCTGTTGGTAAATCCGCTCACCTATGAGTGAGAAACTCAATAAAAAAGAGAAAAAAAGACCATAGTAAGGTCTACAGATATGACCACAATAAGGGAATAAGACCAGACATCTGCTATAGAAACCTCGGTTTTTTGCATGTGACATTGCACCCCTTTTTATGAAGTAGTTTCAATATTTTTAAGAAATGACTAACTTCTTTGTCTTTAAATTCCAGGACTTTTGGCATGCAACGCTGCTTGTTCACATTGTTTTGAGTGGCAGAGCTGTCTTCAACATAAAGCGTCCTTAAAACAAGTGTTTGACACAAGATATTGCACTGGATTGCCTGGAACATATAATACTGAGTCTTCACAAGGTAACGTGCCTACCTGATGATTAATATGTTGAATTTGTTTAGAAGGATATGGGATTTCAATGTTACACTCGGTTTTTATTCTTGACAACATAATTTATGTCCATCCTGTTTGATGTTATTCACAATGGGCGAGCTCTCCCATGGCTGTTCTAACTGAAACCCAGCATCCACTATATTCCTTTCCCAAATTGCACTTAAGATCCTGAAGTGTTGGTGATGGTGAGATGTGTGTGATGGTGTGGTGTTGGCGATGGTGAGGTGTGGGCGATGGTGAGGTGTGGGCAATGGTGAGGTGTGGGCGATGGTGAGGTGTCGGGGATGGTGAGGTGTGGCTGATAGCGAGGCGTGGGTGATGGCGAGGTGTTGGTGATGATGAGGTGTTGGTGATGGTGAGGTGTTGGCGATGATGATGTGTTGGCGATGATGATGTGTTGGCGATGATGAGGTGTTGGTGATGATGAGGTGAGGTGAGATGATGGTGTTGGTGATGATGATGTGTTGGCGATGATGAGGTGCTGATGATGATGAGGTGCTGGTGATGATGAGGTGTTGGCGATGATGAGGTGTTGGTGCTGGTAATGGCGAGGTGTTGGTGAGGTGGTGGTGTGGTGATGGTGATGGTGTTGGTGATGGTAATGGTGATGGTAATGGTGTTGGTGATGGCGAGGTATTGATGGCGGTGAGGTGATGGCGAGGTGATGGTGATGGCGAGGTGTTGGTGAGGTGTTGGTTTTCGTGATGGTGTGTAAACAACAACATCAAACTGGTGTTGTAAATTCGTTAATATATCATATGCTATTGTATATATGAACATGGCCTAAATCCTCTTTTATTAGATACAATATCTCTGGACATGAAATATGAATTTGAAGGTTACGATGTCGCCATCCTTGGTTCTAGGTTCCCGTACGAGTTTGAATACCTCAGCGAGCGTGCATCTTTATTTGTATCTCCGCTGACAGAAAGATGTTTCTTGGCTCTGGCTTTGGCCCTGGATCAATACTCATGTGGGACCTTGATTGGATTTAATGGATCTGGCAAGACTGAAACAATCAGGGAACTAGCAAAGGTAGAGTCATTCACTGGTTTATCTATTGTGATGTTTTACTGGGGCTTCAGGGTTTGGAACACAAGGTTTCAATTTTGACAAATATATAATTAGTATTATAATTGTAGAACCATTTAATATTTTTATATAAAGAATAGTGTGTTCAAATTAACAATGCGGTCATCTGATCCTGCCCACGTCTATTTATGGTGTTGAGATCTCAATAAGTGTGTAATCTGCGTTGTTATTTGAATGCAATGCTAAATTTTTCTAGGAAATTAAAATAACCAGTAAGCGGGATGCCTCTCAAGCAGGATCATATCTTTATAATCAGCATGATAGAAACATCTCGAACGGTCTGTGCCAGTGTAGGTAACGACGATGACAAGACAGATTGAGGAGATACAACTACCTGAAAAATATAGGCAGAACTTCGGCGTTTCGATTCTTTTTTGCTGATGTTCCTCTAAGTGTCATTATCTGAAGCCAAAGGTTGCGGGTTCGATTCCCACCGCGATCAAGCAATTTTTGAGTTTGTCCTGTTTGCCGAGTAACATCAGCCAAAAATTAAACACCTTATTTCAACACCACAATCATCAGATGTTCATCTTGATGCAATGTTGTTTACTCAAAAATTTCTTCGGTTCTGGAAATTAATATTTTTAACGTTATATGACATATATGTCGAAAATACTTTTTTTGTATTGTAGTTGATGGGCAGACATCTTGTGTTCTATAACTGTTCTCAATCGATGGCCAGCTCAGTTATAAAAAGAATGTTAACTGGAATGATTCTTAGTGGTACTTGGGTGTGTTTCGAAGATGCTCATAAACTATCTCAGTTAATGTTATCTATACTTGGTGATTACTTGGGGAGTGTCAGGCAGGCGTATCAATGCTTGATGATGAACAGAAATAATCAGTACCTAGTCAGAGGTCAGAGCAAAGAAAACCATGGTGAAAATGCTACGAAGGTGAGTTTTACAATAGTTTTGAGTCGCTATATATGTGTAGTAACTAAAATCGTCTTGAAAAGAGCTGTCTGTCAAGAGCAGCGCAACCTAGTTAAAAGTTACACTCTTGTTCAAATATCATTCAGCAAATCAAGTAATAAAATGGTAGATATAGACCTGTCTGTGAATAATGCAAAGGAATTGTTTCTCCACTTAGTTTTAGTTACGAAAACTTGCAATGAAATATGCATCTTTTTAGGTTTTCGACTATTTCCTTCGGTTTATTAATTTCAATTGTTTTCGTATGAAATATCTTAATCCTTTCTTAAGACCATAACAGACTGTACAGTTTTTGCATGGGATGTTGGTTTTTTTTTATTCCAGGGCATCAGAAACTTTAAGCCTTACCGGTCGATGGTTGAGAAATAAAATTTGTATCTTTTGTTTTTACGTTTCAGGAACCATCTAATAAAGAACGAAGCAACAGTGTCACAACACTTGACTCCTTAACTCAGCAGGAATCGGTTTCAAACACATTTAAGAATGAAGCTCGTGAAAACTCAGTAAGTGCGTTCTATCCTAATTGTTTTCATGTAGTGTTGATGCTTAAAGTGCCTATGACACGAAATTTCACCCCAAATGTTTATGATTGCATTGTAAAGAACACTTAAAATGACTTCATAATTTCTTTTATAGAATTTTTGTAACTTGCTTCCTTTGCAAGAATTCAACTTTGTTTCATATGCAAATATCACCGGTGTGACATCACATCGCATAATGACATTTTGAAAATGTAATATTTTACCTTGATAAAATATTTTTACAAACAAATACAGAGGGTTAATTAGCAGTTATGAAATTAATACATATACAAAAGCAATTTTTAAGTTTTTTTAGATACGTATTCGTCAACAAAACTATACTTTTCTGAAAACTCATTATGTGATGTGATGTCGCACCGGTGATATTTGCATATGAAACAAAGTTGAATATCTTGAAAAGGGAGCAAGTTACCAAAATTCTATAAAAGAAATTATTAAGTCATTTTAAGTGATCTTTACAATGCACCAATAAACCTTTGGGGTGAAATTTCGTGTCATAGGCACTTTAAATAACTGAATCCGAAAATTGAATTTGCACAATCAACAAATCGTGTCCTGAAAGCTGACTTGCACTCAGTTAAGTTATATATGCGGGTGACTGGAAGCCTCAGTGAAGTTTCCAACCGCAGAAAAAAATAATATTTAGTGTAGTCAACGTAGGACATTAGAACAGCTGTGTTTTTTCCAATTGAGATCTTAGTCGCCAAAAATTATTTCTCAAAAATTATTTCTTATGTTGATTGTTGAACACTCGATCATCTTATATGATTTTATGAAAAATGTTTTCTTTGTATAGGTAAAAAAATCCACAACAATTTCCCGACGGTTTTCTATCTGTGAGAGCAGAAATATTGACGTGAGAACTTACTATGGAGACACGCAACCATTGCCAGTTTCAATCCCAGTTACAGAAATTGAACCGAACAGCGACTGTCAGGCTATTTCGGATAAAGAAGAGGATACAATTTTGATTAAACAACCAAGTGATCATTCACTGGGAAGTATTGTATTTAATGGTTCCTTACTGAAGACCCATTCTATGGCTGCATGTTTTATGACAGTTACACCAGATAATGATGGCTACCTTAATGTGCCCGAAAATCTTAAGGTATTTAAAATTAGCAATCGCTTGAGAGCTTTTAAACTAAGCTTGTAATCATACTGTACGTGTGTTAACATAAACGCCGATTGCTTAAAAGCAATCGCCGTTTATGTTAACACACGTGCAGTGTGATTCATTAGCAAGATATCAACAGTGTTTGTTTGAAGACAAGAATCCTAATCAATCACTTTTACGTTCGTGATTTTAAGCACGATTCGTTGTTGCTGTCTTTCATGGGTGGAATTCCTTATTGGACAAGAATTATTATATAGACAACTACCGGATATAAGCTATATTCTGCAATCCGATTGGCTCTCTACTAGCAGGGTATTACCTCAGACCCTGCTAGTAGAGAATATTATAGCCATAGAGGAACTCCCAGCAATTGTTTCCAGGTTAGCAAGTAAATTTTTAATATTTAAACTGGTTAAAAAATATATTTTTGAAAAAAATTATGCCGAAAGAGCGAAGATAAAAACATGAAGAGAATATAATTTTTTGGAAAAATTTAAAAGCAAAAACACTTTATAGAAGCCAACAAGCACTAGCTTATTTTGTCTAAAAATCTCTTAAATATGTAGGAATTTCAAGTTTAGCAATGTTCGAAGTACCCATTTGATAATGACGAACATGTGGATTGCGGATTGGTAAACTAACTGTCAAAATATTACCATACGGTAAAACCCCGCATATAAGAACCTAGAATTTAAGAACCTAGAATTTAAGAACCTGTTAGGATAAAAAATTCATTTAGAAATAAGTAAGAAACTGTTTAAGCTAGAATTTCAAAGCAGTTCTTATTTTATCAAATAGAGTCAAAATTAAAAATTTATAAATCAAAGAAAATAAGCTCTTCACAAAGTAATGGAAATGACACAAGAACCCAGGATCTTCGCTCGAAACGTCGAAATTCGCCTTATATTTTTCAGGTAGTTCCTGCCAACGAAAGCTTGTTAATACGTTTGGCTGGCAATGGGGGAGGTTGTTGTCCGAAAAAAAAATTTTCCGGAAAATTTTTTGAAATAGGGGCCCCTAAAAAAAATTTCCCCAGGGCCCCCGCCAAGCTCTCGGCGGCCCTGTCTGTAAGCAATGTTTTCCAGCATCATGGATTGTTAGATAATTTGTGCATAATTTTTAAAAATTATATACCACACTTACGAAAAAGAGTCGCTTTTTTCTTAAGAAAATATTAAGAACCTATTTAAGAACCTGTTTAGCCCAATCTCCTGGTCAGCACCATGTACATAAGAACCTGTTTATGCTTACTTGGAAAAATCTTGGTTCTTACAGTATATGCGAGGTTTTACTGTACTGAAGAGTCTGTAAATGCAGTGATAGTTGTCTATATAATAAAACAGTTATTCTACTCACTTTCGTCGTATGTGACTGATAGCTATTAGCTCATATACGACTCGAGTTCGAAGAAGAACTGTTAATTATTCAGAGCACGGTCAATGTTATCTGGCAAGACAGAAAATTGAATCGGATAGCTTTGATCGAAGTTTGAATAGTAATACATAAATGATAAAGATAAACGGTAAGATCCTTTAAAACTGCTGTCGATACGAACCCTCAGCACTTTATACTGTACAAACCTTTCAGGCATCCTTGCGAACTGTTTCTATGATGAAGCCAAGTGTGAATAAACTGCTTGAGGTGTTGCTGCTATGTAATGGGTTTAGTGATGTTAAAAATCTGGCAGAAAAGATCATGTTTTTCACTCAAGTTATTTATGACGAGGTATGATGAATAATAGTAAAGTACCCAACTAATAATTTTCTGATATCGATTTCCCCTTGTCATGAGTTGTAACCAAAAACACTTCTGCCAGTGAAGTGCACGTGGGGCAAGAATTTAAAAATAGTAGAGCCAAAGATGGCTTCCAGTTGATGAATGTCTCAAGTCTCTCCATGCAGTTTCTCTACAATAAAGGCAATTAGAAGTCCAGTGCTGAAGATGAGTCCGACGTCCAGTATCTATTTTGTCTGTACCTAAGATAGACCCGGTCCCTTCTTCAGCGGATTCGTGTCTTTCTGCTACCAACATCTTCACCAAGGGCCTTGACCCGAAACTTCAAAGTGTTTTGATCCAATCATTTTTGGTAGTTACAACATAAACTAACACCAAGTTATTGTAGGATACTATACTGTCCTACCACCTTGGATATAATTTTATTAAAAAATTACTTCTTACCTCTCGAAGATTACGCCATTATATTTATTAGGATATTTTTCCTCAAACATAAAGCCATGTAATTTGAATGGTAATATCCCACAGAATTCACTCTGCCAAGATATCTGCAAGAAATGAATGAGAATGAACCATGTTTACAGTTTTTATTATACAGTAGCATGGCTCTTGTCAGCATTTGTGTTGCAAGTTGCCGCAAAATTGCCTCTATAGCGTTGTCTTGAGTATCTGTTTTTTCCATCCCTTTACAGTTACCATCTGTGCACCAAATTGGACCAAACGTTTTAAAGGCTGCCATTGTCATGGCTGGAAATAAATTAGAACGTGATGAAAATCTTACTGAACCCTCTAAGGATGAAGCGGTTCAACAAAAGGAAGAAATTCCTGATCAACCCAGTCAGGATGAAATGAGAAGTACGTTCATTATTAAGACATGTCAGCCGTCGATAAAGTTCGATTTTATTTCACTTGTCCAGGGCGCCGAGATCGGGTGCTTAAGATTGCTTAACAGAGAAAAAGAATCCTAGCTCCGTTAAGCCTGTTCTCCAATAGAGAATTTCTTTAAAATTGTTAAAATTGAAAAGAATTTATTAAAAATGTAATTAGTTCCAGTCGAAAGCTTATAAGACAAAAGATTCGCGCGACAAATTTCGCTGGTGGAAAATCGGCTTTAGTGCCGGGTACTATCGAATAAATTAAGGACAATTGAAAATTTCGAAACCATACCATACCATGCGTACCGTACCATGCATACCATACCCATACCCATACCATGAAACTCATTAATAATTCATGAAGAAAACGCAAAAGAAATCATGACCGTGAAGGAGTTATCTGATAAAAAATCAATGACATGCTTAACTACCTAAACTTTAAGTTCAATTTTCTCACCACATATCATTAATTTATGAAACATTTTTGAAGAATACGAATGTTCTCATCAAGACGTTTCACAGGCCATTTACAGCATTCGCGTCCGTGTTGTATCGGGTATAGAAACTCTCGCCTTCGACTCGAGTTTGTATATCGATACAACACGGCCGCTCATATTGTAAATAGTACATACCATACCATACCATACCATACCATACCATACCATACCATACCATACCTTCTCAAATTCATTAATAATTCATGAGCACTTCAGCCAATGATAATCACCTATTTGATCACAAGATGCCATTTGGATAACCCAGTGAAACTTGATGAAAGTCACTAGTGTTTTCATCAAATATCTTAATTACGCATGCAAAATTACTTGAATAGAATTCCTAATTACGTTATGCTTGGTTAAGAATTCTATTCAAATCAGCAAACGAAAAACATTCTGTTACGTCTCGATTCATTTATCACAACTCGAGCTCGTGTCTCACCGGGATATCCAAACACGAAATCCCCGTGAAACACTTGCTGTCGTTGTTCATATATTACATACCATACTATACCATACTATACCATACCATACCATACCATACCATACCATCTTGTGTTTGTGTTGCTGAGTGTTATCTAACTGTTATTTTCTCTATTAAAGGCATCGCATCATCCGTCTCACTTCTCGAGGAATTCGAAAATCGAACTAAGGAGGAAAGTGCTATAGTGTATGGTCTGTTCAGTGTGCTATGCCCGAAGCTTGATGACGAAAGCAAGACATTAGTGTGTGGAAAGATCGATGCAATATTTACTCACACTGTCCTAACATCTGCTACTCAAACAGATGCTGAATGTGTGGCTGAAGCAGTGAGGGAACAACTTGGTGCAGAATCTATGCAACCAAACATGGATCTTGTTTCTAAGGCAAGTTAGTTTGTATAAAACCACAATTCAAGGTTGTATTATCAGTAACTGGCGTTGGCATACAGTTGCTATATCGCACCATATCATGCATGCCATACAAAGTGCTGCACTGGAATCTCAGGACCGCATATTGAATTCTGTCGAATGGCGTATAGTTGCATTTTTGATTAGGTCTTAAATGATGTAGTCCAACAAATTTTTTAACATGCAATACCGTCCTCCGAAACCCCCATTCCATCATTTTATACCATGTTATAAGTACTATTTAAAACACGAGTAGGAGTGTTTTATCAGATATAAAACGCGAGGTCATATAAGTTTGATCAGCCAGCGAAACGCGAGATCATATAAGTTTGATCAGCCATGTTTCTCGATTTTTTTACTCATTTTTAAAGCGTGCACCACATTCAAACGTTTGTATCTCACGTAATATTACATGATATTTTTAGGGCTGTATATCAAAATCAAAGTTAGCCTTTCCTCAATACAATAAAACTTATTTGAGTGTAATAGCTTTTATAGTTTTTACCTTACATAAAATCAAACCACGCAAGTTTTTTGGGGGACACCCGGTATATATCATACCATACGTGCCACGCCATTTCATGTCACAACATAGCTGAATGCGTTTTCTTGCACATTTTAGGTGATCCAGTTGTATCAGGTGTTACAAATCAATCATGCCGTCATTATATTAGGTTTATCTGGCACTGGCAAGACCACAATCTACAAGACATTATGCAAAGCAATTAACAGTCTCAACACTCAATTTGCCTCCCGTGTTTCAGAAAAAGAAAGTAGAGCGATGGAAAAAACAAAATATCCGAAAGTTAATCTCACCGTTCTGTTTCCTCGAGCAATGAGTGAAAGTGAGGTGAGTATTCATTGGTAGAAATTGTTTGTTTGCGTGTTTGCCTTGCTTGCTTGCTTGTTTGTTTGTTTGTTTGTTTGTTTGTTTGTTTGTTTGTTTGTTTGTTTGTTTGTTTGTTTGTTTGTTTGTTTGTTTGTTTGTTTGTTTGTTTGTTTTTGTTTGTTTGCTTGTTTGTTTGTTTGTTTGTTTGTTTGTTTGTTTGTTTGTTTGTTTGTTTGTTTGTTTGTTTGTTTGTTTGTTTGTTTGTTTGTTTGTTTGTTTGTTTGTTTGTTTGTTTGTTTGTTTGTTTGTTTGTTTGTTTGTTTGTTTCATTAGATAGATAGTTATGCGATTGGATTTTAAGAAACTGGCGTTTGTTTCTGTTTATTATTTTTATTCGATTTATAAGCTCTTGCAAATTCAAAGTCACTTGCATGCCTGAACACATGCAAAATAATAGAAATAGCCTCTCAATTGGAATGGCACAACAATGACACAAGGCGCTTGCCATAGGCGCTTGCCACGTACTTCCTTTTTGTTAACTGAATTTACTTTTTTGTCACTGAATTTTGATCAAATTGCGCTGCATGCTCTTACGGTCTTATTGGTCTTACCTAATCAGGATCAGATATTATTAAGGCATAATCAAACGAGAATGAGAGTGACTGAGATCTGGCAGTCACGCGACCTTGGTTTGCAATTCTTTAATGCTTTTCCAACACTATAACACTCATCAGACCTTTATTTTGTTAATGTAGAGCTTACGATCTCTCATGTAACAATGCGTGACTGCGAACTTTTATAAACTCTCATCGTCGCTTTAGACCTGTAGCCGCGGCAGCAATTGGGAAAAATGCAGTCGTGTGAGTGTAGGTTCTCTAGCAGGAATCAAAACATCGATCATGCATTTTCGGTGCAGCCTTCCACCAGTTTAATATACTTGAAAGGTTTCGTAGCTGGAAATTTCGAGTGTAAATGTTATGCTTTTATTAGACCTATGACTATAGTTGCAAAAAATGCAACTTAGACCCTGTAGCAGGATTCGAACCTGCCTCCCTGTCAGAGTTCAATATAATTCTGAAAACTTGGTCTGACATTCTGTCAGACCAATCCATGTTTTGGTCGGTCATGATCGGACACTTAATTATTCTCTTGATGAGGGACGTTGTCACTTGTCACAGTACTATAAATCAAAACCGTAACAACTACCAAAAGTCCAAAACCATATATGCATATGCATAATGGTAAACAAAATTACACAATATCAACGAAAACTTACTCAGTAACACTATATATAATACAAAATATTTCTCTTAACAAACGAGATAACATTGTTGTTGTATGGACCGTGACGAAGTCTGATTCCGTGATTGTCTAGCTGACGGAATCGTTGTTTGCATGTGTTAAAGATTACATTTTGATAAAAAGATTTGCAACAATAAAGGAAGAAATATTCAAATTAATGAGACAAAACGATCGGCCATAATGTCCGTGCAGAGTAATCAGTAGATGGCCATATGAGCATTTTGCTAGGCTAATGACAGGTGGCCGACCGTTATATTGATTCCTGCTCCCTATGACTCCCTGTGATTTGGGCATCTCACTCGATAGAACGAAGTGTTAAGGAGGCTCCCTACAGTTTCCAATATATATCAGTGTTTTAAACTAAAAGCTAAAAAAACTAATTTTCCCCACAAACCATTGTTTCCTCTTATGTAAAAATGTAATTTTAACCCACAATGGCTACTCTTCATGTTAGCATAACAATTAACATGACGTCACCGTCTATATGGCCTATATCAACCAAAAACGCCGTCTTAGCGGACAAATAACCACGGTGACCTACCTGTTTTATTGGAGAAAATACATTGTTATGAAGTTTTGAATCTTTTTTGGAAGTTATTTGAAAATCGCCAGTGTAGTTTTCGAGATACTGAATTTCAGCCTTTCCAAAGGCTAAAATGCAATCTTAAAGACTGAAATTCAGAATCTCGAAAACTACACTGGCGATTTTCAAATAACTTTCCAAAAAGATTCAAAACTTCATAACAATGTATTTTCTGCAGTGAAAAAGGTAGGTCACCGTGGTTATTTGATTTAGGACATATAGATGGTGACGTCATGTTGTCATGGTAACGTGAAGAGTAGCGATTGTGCATTATAATCACTCTCTTATGTAAGAGGAAACAATGGGTTGTGCAAAAAATTAGATTTTTGGATTCAAATAGCTTTTAATTTAAAACGCCGACATATATTGGAAACTGTAGTGGGAGCCTCCTTATTAAAGGGTTTTGTAGATGGAAATTTCGAGTTTATTTTTTATGCATTTATAATAATAATAATAATAATAATAATAATAACGAATTTATTGTAGCCTTCCATTTTACATGGCTCTTCATCTACAATGTAACTACTTATTTACTACTTATATACTACTTATAATATATGCTACTTCTTATCATTAGTTAAAACATTAAAATA